CCTCCACCTCCCTCTACCCCCTGCTGTGAGGCTGGACGAGCTGCAGAGGGATCGGATGGACACCTCTGGGGGGTGAGGACACGGGCTGGAGCCTGGACACCTGGAAGCTGGGATGCGGGGCGGAAGATCCCTCTTTTTTTTTTTGAGTAAGAGTCTCACTCTGTCCCCTTGCTGGAGTGCAGTGACTCACTCATGGCCACCACAGCCTCTACCTGCTGGGCTCAGACGATCCTTTCGCCTCAGCCTTCCAAGCAGCTGGAACTACAGGTGTGCACCACCATACCTGGCTAATTTTTATTTTTTAATTGTAGAGGTGAGGTCTCACCATTTTGCCCAGGCTGGTCTCGAACCCTTGGGCTCAGGCAATCCTCTCGCCTCCGCCTCCCAAAGTGCTAGGACTACAGGTATGAGCCACTGCACCCAGTGGAAGGTTCCTCTCAGCCTCAGTGTCCCCATCTGGGAAATGGGAATGATAGAGTGGCACTGTGTGAACGTAGAGTCAGGCTACACGCACCAGCTAGGAGGGATCAAAGGAAAACACAATGCAGTTCACCTGGAGTCAAGACAGCTGCCGCCCCAGCATTGAACTCAAGACAGAGCGTCAGCCCTGACACTGGGGGCCTTGTACTTCTTGCGGGCACTGAGACGACTTAGCGCTTCTGCCCTGGGCCTTCAGGCCCGAATCTCGGGGGCAGGTGTGGCTCGGCTCACAGGGTGAGGAAGCCTCTGCTGTGCCCACCGGGACTGCCACCCAGGCCTGGGGTCTGGGCTCACTGTGGGCTGGCTGCGGGCACCATCTCTGCTCCTGGAGGGCTGGGACACATGCGGCCCCCTGTCGCCCAGAAGCTGGACGTGTGCTTCTTTCTAGGTTTCACTTGAAAAAGAAGATGAGAGTCTGGCGGGACTCCTTCCTGGTAGAGAGAGGGTGAGAGCCGGGTCCTGGGGTTCCTCCCCCCCCCCCGTTCACACACCCCACCCAGGGAGCTCCTCCCGGTCCCAGGGTCACCCCCACCCATACATCCTGCCCAGGGAACTCCCTGCGGTCCTGGGGCCACCCCTGCCCACACGCCCCACCCAGGAAATTCCTGCGGCCCCACCACTCCCTAGCAGGAAGGAGAAGGGTGCCCTTATTTACCACCCAACAGTGACCGGGAAGTTGAGTCAAAGCCCTCCAAACGCAAGGGCAGCAGAACCAGGGTCTGGAGGCCACGTGTGCTCTGTGGACATGGACTGTCCATGTCTTCCGTGTTCTGTCATTTACTTCCAACTCTCGCGATGTGGGAGGTTCCCCATGAAACCCCAGCGTCCCTTGAAACTCAGGACACCAGCCAGGCTGGTCTGCATCCTCCACGGTGAGGACAGCCTCAGCCGAGCCTTGGGGCACCCCCGGAGCTAAGAAGCCACCCTCCGCCCACAGCAAACTGCTCCACAAGAGAGACAGCGACAAGGTGGATGCCCAGGAGGAGAACTTCCTGCCCAAGTACCAGCGCGTGAAAGACCTGTGTCAGCGCGCCGAGTACCAGACGGCCTGCGAGCAGCTGGGGCAGGTGAGGCGGCTGGGGGCACCTCTGGGCTCCTCCTCCCAGTGACTCCCCTCCCTCGAGCTCCTCCTCCCTGCAACTGTGTCCCTCAGGGCGCCCCCACTCGGGGCTCCCCCCCTCCAAGAGACTCCCCTGCCCTCGGGCTCCCCTTCCTCCTGGCAACTCCGCCTCCCTCCTGGCTCCCCCTCCTTCCCAGTGGCTCTCCCTCCCCTCCTTCCAGCTTCCCGCCTCCCTCCCCGCTTTCTCCTCCCAGTGGCTCCTCCTCCCTCCCTGCTCCCCCTCCTCCCTCCCAGCTCGTCTTCCTCCCTGTGGCTCCTCCTCCCTCCTGGCCCCCACTCCAACTGCAGCCAGCCCAGGCCTGCTGGAGCCCCAGAGCTGCTGCGCCCAGGGCCAGGGCCTCCCGCGTGTGTCTGTGACACCCAAGGTGCGGTTAGGTGGTCACGGGACGCTCCTAAGAGGCGACTCCTTTCTCAGCACCCCCGGACTTGACGGAGGCGAGGTGCCCCACGGTGCACGCCTCGAGCTCCCTCTGACCCTTGCCCTGAGGCCCCCAGGACTGAGGTCGCTTTCCTGTCACTGTGCTCACCCGGACAGCGCCCTCTCCGCGCCTGGCTTTCCTCTACAGGAGTGCTAGGAAGCGGCCTTTTAAATAAATAGACACAAGTTTTGGGAGAGCCCGACCCAGGCTTCTTGGAGGCCTGGAGGGCCAGGCTGGGGGCAGGGAAGGGAGTGAGGCAGGGCCAGCAGGTGGTCAGCCTGACCTGGCCTGGCCCGAGGGGGGCAGGGCCCGTGTCCCTCCCCTGCCGGTCGGGACTGGGACACTGAGCTGGGGCTAGGTCTGCCTGTTTCGCAGCAGGAAATTCAAGACCTTCATGTTCAAGGACAAGGCACAAGTTGGGCGGGTTTCTGATCAGCTGCCTCGGAATGGCTCCATCTTATCGCTGGACACAGACTGTGTCCTGACCCCTCCTGGTGGTAGAAGTCACCAGCATGGGCCACCAAGCAAGAGCCTTGGGTGATCTCTAACCATCTCTAACGTGTGCCTCCAACTGCCAGGCTCTGTCCTAGGCACCAGAGCTACAGCCTTGACTGTCCTCCACAGAAACCCGTCCTGGCCGGGGTGCGGAGGCTCATGCCTACAGGCCCAGCACTTCGGGAAGCCAGGATGGGAGGATCGTTTAAGGCCAGGCATTAGCCTAGACCAGCTGGGAGGCAGCAACCCAGGGCCCCGGGGCTCACAGCTCCAGGGCCTTAGGGTCCCAGAGCTCCCTGGAAGGCAGGCACATCCCAGCTGTCCAGCTGCCCTCTGAGTCTGTTGCCCATCTTGTGCTCACACTATGCCATCAGGAGTGCCCCGCCTGGTGTCTCCTCTGGAGGATGGGGTCGTCTGTCATTGAATAAACGATTCCAGGAACCCAGCTCTTGTTCCCAGTCTCCCTTGAGGGCAGGGCCCGCCTGGAGTTCACTGTCCTGGTTTCTAAAGCCCAGACCAGGCTGGCTCCTGATTAAATGTGCCCCAGGCATCTCATGATCACAATTGCCATGGTGGATGCCTAGTGGGAGCTTTGCAGGATTCATTCAGACACCTCCCAACAGCCCTGTCTGGTAGGTGCTTCCTTTACATAGGGAAAAACTGAGACCCAGCGGGTAAGCAGCATGCCAGAGCCCCAGCTTCAAGTGAAGGAGCTGGGATTTGAACTCAGCCTATTGAGTTGCAGGACCTTTGTTCTCAACAGCTGGGGGGACCCTGAGCCAGGCCATGTGAGTCCATGCAGGCTGGGATATGGCCTACCAGTACAGCCTCAGGCCTGGACGTGGAATGAGGGTCAGGGCATGCCAGCGTTGCCTGGAAAAGCAACAAGGCTTCTAGGCAGCATAATACAGGGGCCAGCTGATGCCTTCTATAAAAGGCCCATCGGTGACCGAGGCTTGGGCCTTGTGGTTGTTTTTGTTATTGCTTTTTACAACTCTTTAAAAATGTACTGTGTAGGCCAGGAGTGGTGGCTCATGCCCATAATTCCAGCACTTTGGGAGGCTGAGGAGGGAGGACTGCTTGAGCCCAGGAGTTTGAGACCAGCCTGGGCAACATAATGAGACCTTGTCTCTATGAAAAGAGACTTTTTTTTTTAAATTAGCTGGGTGTATTGGTACATGCCTGTAATCCCAGGACTTTGGGAGGCCAAGGCATAAGGATCACCTGAGCCCAGGAAGTCGAGGCTGCAGTGAGCTGTGATCATGCTACTGCACTCCAGCCTGGGCGATAGAGAGACCCCCCAACTCAAAAAGCAAAAAAAAGTACAATGTAAAATCTAATCTTGGCTCACAGGCCGCACAAACATGGGCTGTGGGCTGGAGTTAACCAGAGGCCGCATTGCCAACCCCTCGCTTGGTGCAGGCTGAATGTGCCGTGTGGGGAGGAGGTGGGCGGCGGGGAAAGAGACTTCCAGGCGAAGAGCGAGTTGGGCAGAGACTGCCGGCCACGGGCGAGCCCAGGGCATCACAGGGCAGCCGCATATCTGACTTCTGGAAAACGAGACCCAGCCGCATGGGCCGTGCGCCCACCCAGCGGCAGGCAGGGGTAGCCCATCACCTGCCCACTCAAGCCTCTTTGGTGGGGCCATGCCTGCAGCCCCGGGGTCTAGTTCTGCTCTGAGGCATCAGGCCATGGGAAAGGCCTGTGCTGGGGGCGTGAAGGACAGCCGGGAGCCACCCGGGAGAGTGGACTGTCCTGAGGGACAGGTGACAGTGAGAGGCAGGGGAGTCTGGGCCAGCCTGGGTGCCCCGTCCGGCTCTCAACACTCCCTGGGCCTGTCCTCATCCTAAAGTGGGCATTCAGCAAGCTGACCCTCCACCCAGGGCTTGGCGTGCAAAGCAGCAGACCCACGTCATGTCCCAGAAAGCCTGAAGAGGCCTGAGTAGCCGTGTGGTCAGCGGGTGGGGCCAGGTCACGACAAGAGCAGCTGTCACCGGACCCAGTGAGGGGACCCAGGAGGCTGGAGCAAGGGAAGAGGATGGCGGTTGGGATGAGAAAGTGATTCTCTCTCTCCTTAACTTTCTGACAGCACGCCTTGAATGTGTGCGCTGTACTCTGACCACACTGTATCTAGTCCTTAGTGAGGAGAGGAGAGGGAATTTAAATGAGGGGACTGGGGAGGGTGACATTGGAACAGGGACCTGAAGTAGGCGAAAGTTCGGGCAGCAAGAGCTGGAGGAAAGCATTCTATCCAGAGGGAACGGCGTGGGCAGCAGCCCATCTGGGATCCTGGAAGGGAGCTTTGGGGCTGAGGAAGAGCAGGGACTGGAGAGCGACAGCAGGTGAGGTCCCGGGGGGAGGCAGGGTTCTGAGCGGGCAGGGTGTGGGGTGCCAGGCTCAGGGCCTGGGTGTTCTCCTGAAGATGGCAGCAGCTGTCAGAGTTCAAACAGGAGTGACGTGACCCACCCACCCTTTAAAAGGCCTCCCCAGCTGCCTTGTGCCCGTGGATTTCAGGCGCAGACAGAAGTGGGTACCCGGAGCAGAGGCTGCTCTGGGCGCCTTGCGGGGGATGAGGCCACGCCTCCGGAGGCGAGCAGCGGAGAGGCGCTCGGAGCTGGCAGGGGGGCTGGACGTGACCGGGGAGAGGGGAGGCAGTGGTGGGGGGCTGCAGGCGCGACGTGACAGGCCCGGCGTGTCTTGCAGAAGTGGCAGTGCGTGGAGGACGCCGTGGGGAGGCTGAAGCTGCACAAGTGCAAGGGCCCCGTGCAGCTGGGCGCCAGGGCCCTCTCCAACCTCGTGCCCAAGTACCACGGCCAGGGCGGCGAGGCCTGCCCCTGCGACTACAAGCTCAGCCTGGCCGGACGCCGGAAGAAGTTCTTCAAGAAGAGTAAGTGTCTCCGGACCCAGCGGGGCAGGGGGAGGAGGGCCCGTGCGTGGGAGGCCATGTGCTCATTCAAGCAATTCCAGAGACCTGTCACTTAGCCATGTGTGTTCCGGGAGCTGGGACACAGCCACACACCCTTGCCAGCCACCCACGCTAGTGGGGAGCGGCCGTTGATAGCAGAACACGGTCTGCTGGACGCGGTGGCTGACGCCTGTCAGGCTGCACATTGGGAGGCTGGGGCAGGAGGCTCACTTGAGTCCAGCCTGGGCAACACAGCGAGACCTCATGTCCACAAAAAAATCAAAAATTAGCCGGGCTCAGTGGCTCAGCCTGTAATCCCAGCATTTTGGGAGGCTGAGGTGAGTGGATTGCCTGAGCCCGCGGGTTCGAGACCCACCTGGGCAACTTGGCAAGACCTCATCTCTACAATAAATCAAAAACTTAGCCGGGCACAGTGGTGCACGTCTGTGACTGTAGCCCAGCTACTTGGGAGGCTGACACAGGAGGATTATCTGAGCCCAGGAGGTCGAGGCTGCGGTGAGCCGGGATGGTGCCACGGCACTCCAGCCTGGGCAACAGAGACCCCACCTCAAAAAATAGTAATAATAAAACAAAGAGCAGTGGGATAATAAAAAGAGTACAGGCAGGAGAGGCAGAGGCAGGAGCCGGGCCAGGACCCTTCGGCCCTGGAGAGCACTGTAGGGGTTTCACTCGGAGACGAGGAGTCTCTGTCTGGAGAGTTCTGAGCCTCAGCGACAAGACCAGACTTGTGTTTTCAAAGGACCCCCCTGGGCCGTGTCAGTGGACATGCAGGGGCAGGGACCGAGGAGGAAGCCCCTGTTCGCTTGGCCGAGATGCCTAAGAAGCTGGGGTGACCCAAACTGGGTCGCAGCATGGGAGGAGGCAGCGGTTGGGTTCTGGCTGGGACATGACCAGAGAGCTGCTAGGCTCCGTGAGCAGACTCGCCCACTCCCAAAATTGATGTGCAGCCCAAGTCCAAGGCCCCAGCACTTTCAAGGTCATTCCCAGGCATGACTGGAATGGCCACCCCATGCTGCCCAGCTGAGGCAGGACAGGCTAGTGCTCTGTTTTCTGTCCAGCTCTCATCCTCCACACAGGCGTCGTTTCACTGTCTGTGCCACGCGTCTCACATTTTGCACTTTTTTCTGTGATTTTGCCGGCGGTTGTTTTAATTTTTAACATCGGGGCCATGTGCAGATTTGTTACAGGGGCGTACTGTGTGAGGCTGGGACTGGGGATTCTATTAAACCAGTCACCCAAAGAGCACAGCGCCCAGTGGGTAGCTTTCAGCCCTTTTCCTCCCCCTCCCCAGTGTCTGTCGGTCCGTCCTTACGCCCTGGGTGCCCAGGGTTTCGCTCCCACTTACAAAGTGAGGACATGCAACATCCAGTTTTCCGTGTCTGTGCTAATTCGCTTGGGTCGTGGCCTCCAGCTGCGTCCATGTTGCTGCAGAGGACATGACTTCGTCCTTTTGTTATGGCCGCGGCTTCACTGTTGAAACGGACCCCACGCTGTGCTGTCCATGTTCCCGAGTGCAGGAAGCCTGAGATGCGGCTCACATGATCCTTCCATGAAATGCACTTCCTTTAGGTGTGCGCCATAGTGCTGCTGGCCATGGGCCCAGTGCGAATGGACCCGTCATTTACACGAAATAAGGTGTCTGTGCACAGACACGCGCACACCAGGTTCCATGCTGGTCGGCTGACGAATGTGTTGTGGCGGAGGCTGCCAGGAACCAGCCCTGCATGTTCCCTGGGAACCACGGTTCAGTATTGGACAACTCGGTGGCGCAGTGACTTTCTAGAACATGACTGCTGTGCCGAGAACAGACTACGCTTTAGATGTGTGAGGAGCCGCCGCCTATGTCTTACCCTCACTCTCGGCAAGGGCTGGGAGGGGGCCGAGAGAAGATGGACAGTTAGAAAGCCAAGGCGCACAAGGCCGGACTCGGTGGCTCAGCCTGTAATCCCAGCACTCTGGGAAGCTGAGGCGAGTGGACTGCCTGAGCCCGCGGGTTCGAGACCCACCCAAACAACTTGATGAGACCTCATCTCTACAATAAATAAAAAATTAACCGGGTGTGGTAGCATGCACCTGTAGTTCCAACTACTTGGAAGGCTGAGACGGAAGGATCGCCGAAGTCCAGCAGGTCAACGCTGGGGTGGCCGTGCGTGTGCCACTGCACTCCAACCTGCGTGACAGAGTGAGACTCCAACTCAAAAAATAAGAAAGAAAAAAAGAAAGCCAAGGCGCAGAGAAGGTGGAGAAGACCTGGACCAAAGACTCTGCTGTCACCCTGGCTGATCACGTCCCATTCTGGGTTTCACATGGAAGTGAAACTGCTTGAAAACACCAGGGGCCGGGGGTGCCTGGTCATCTGGCCGGGTGCATCCCCTCGGGGCTGGGCAACTTCCTGTTTCTTCTTCTTTTTTTTTAGTAGGAGTCTCACTCTGTCACCCAGCCTGGAGTGCAGTGGCACACTCTCAGGCCACCGCAGCCTCGACCTGCTGGGCTCAGGTGATCCTTCCACCTCAGCCTTCCAAGTAGCTGGAACTACAGGTGCGCCCCACCCTGCCCAGCTAATTCTTTGATTTATTGTAGAGATGAGGTCTCGCCAAGTTGCCCAGGCTGGTCTTGAACCCCTGGGCTTAGGCAATCCTCTTGCCTCCACCTCCCAGAATGCTGGGATTACAGGTGTGAGCCACCACACCCAGCTAACTTCCCATCTATTTGGCTCCCTGGGCCGGGGACAGCCAAAGCCAAGTTAGAGATTGTTGTCTTGTTTTTAATTGTGGAAAAGTGCACATAACACAAAATGCACCATCGTAGCCATTTTTAAGTATCCGGTTCAGTGTGTGAAGTGCATTCACACTGTAGTGTGGCCACCCTCCAGGGCTCTTCTCATCTTGCAGAACAGAAACTCCGTTCCCATTAAACACGGCCTCTCCATCCCCCCACCCCTCCCAGCCACCACTCAATTTTCTGTCCCTATGAACTCCACTGCTCGAGGGTTGTTATCTAAATGGTATCACCCAGCATTTGTCTTTTTTGTGACCGGTTTGTTTCACTTAGCTCAGTGCCCGCAAGGTCCATCCATGCCATAGCATGTGTCAGAATCTCCTTTGTGTAGATTGAGCGACACCACACCATGGCCTAATCAGAGATCCAGGTGGCCAGGGTGGCCAGGCTCGGAGGTCTCTGGGCCATCCAGCCAGGCAGAAGCATCGTGTCACAGAACAGGGGAGTCTCTCCATAACCACCGTGGCTGCCTCATGCAGTGCCTGCCCCCCCACAGATGCACCCCATCTCATCTCCTCAAAGCCCATGAGAAGCCACCACTTTTCTTCTAGCTGAATAAAATGAGCGATTCCCAGATTGCATTAAGCAGCTAGCAGCTCCCTGCGTCAACATGTGGCGCTGTAGATAATCGTTAAATCATACAAGCACTCGCGGCCCAATTAAGCTTTTCCCTCTTATTAATAATGCTTCGAGGAAAGAAACATGCACTGTGTGGCTGAACGTCGGCCCGACTAAGGTAGCAAGTCCTTGTGCGCGGGCAGTGTGACATCACTGCAGCGTCCCTGTGAGCAAGGCAGGGTGCCCATCCCTTAGGACGGACGGGAAGGCTGGGTCACATGGCTGGTCTGGGGACTCCGGCTCCATCTCCCGGCCAGCGTCCCTCCCCCCACCCTCTGCCAGGGCCTGCCCGCCGCGCACTCTCTGTTCCTCTTTTCTGAACATTGTGGAGCTGGCTCTTCTGGGGGCGGTTCTGCCCCCTGGGGGAACATTTGGCAATGTCTCAGGACATTTTTGGCTATCACACTTGTATGTGATGGGGCCCACACACAGGTTGATCTGGCCCCAAAATGTCAACACGGGCAAGGTGGAGGAGCCCTTGCCCGAGAGCTCAGACCCGGGCTCTCCTCGGTCCGTGGGGTCTCTGGGTAAGGTGTGGGAAGCTGGGCAGAGCCCGGAACAGGAGAGAATGAGGACCTGGGGTGGGGCCAGGTGGCCGATGTTCACCCAGTTATGGAACAAATACATCTGTGACCCTACTATGTGCCTGATTCTGCTGAGGCTAGAGTTGACAGAGATGCTGACTTGGACCTCACACATGAGACAAGTTGTAGGCAATTAAAAAGCACAGGAAGGAAGAGGGGAAGGACTGGGCAGAGTGGCCGCAGCTCCAGGTGACATTTAAAAAGAACCAAGTACAGAGAAGCTGCCCCAAATGTAGGAGGAAGAGGAAGTCCAAAGGCCCTGTGGTCAGAATGGACTTGGTGGGTCCCAGCCACAGAGGGGAGTCCCCAGTGTGGCCCGAGCATGGTAGGAAGCTCGGCGGCAGGGTGTCACCCTGCTTTACTCACTCTAGCAGCTGGTTGGCACCCGCTCAGCAGGCACTGGACATTTGACTGGTCTTATTTCATGTCTTCGTGTTTCCAGAGAGCCTGTGAGGTGGGCACCAAACTGTCCATGTCGAGTCATGGACTTGCACCAAGCAATCTGATGCCGAAGCCTAAGCTCTTGGCCACAGGCTTGGGAAGTGCCACTCCACCCCAATCTGTGTGGCAGGAAGGGTACCCGTTTACCTCCCAAGGGCTAAGGGCCTGGTTCCCCACTTAGCCTTTTAGGGGAGTAGGATGAACCAGCATTTATTGAGCACTTAGTCTATTCCTAGGTGATTGACATACATTAGCTTCATTAACCAGTGGAGTAGGCACTGTAACTGATCTATTTTACAAATTAGGAAACTAAGGCGTAGAGGGGATGACTTGCCCAGTGTCCCACAGATAAGGGGTGGCAGAACCAAGGATGGAAAGCAGGTGGGTCTGTGTCGCTCCGAAGCCCCAGCCCCAGGCAGCCACCAAGCTGCTTTAAGCCTCGTAGATGCACTTGTTTTGGAGAGTTTAGACAGACAGCATAGGTGACACACGCCCTTCTAGTCTGGCATCTCCCACTTAGCATAAGGCTTCTGACGTTCGTCCACGCTGCAGCACAAATCTAAACTTCATGCCTTTTTGTGGTTGTGTGTTCCGTTGTACACTTAGCATGATTGTTTATCCACGCACAGCTCTTTCTTTAAGTTCTCTTAAGCCAGCTGCTTTCTGGCTCCAGGACTTGTCTCCCCACTGTGACCACCTCAAGGCTCTCTGCCTGCAGCCAGGTAGATTTCACGAGGCCCTCAAGCCATCACAGGGCCGATTTCACAAGCCCTTGGGGGTCATCACAGGGCCTTGTGCCTGGAAGCCCTGCCCTGTCCTGATTGGGGACCTGCAGCCGGGAATCCTGGCCGCTTCCAGCCTCCCTGACCCCACAACCATCTGACGCCCACAGAGTACAAGGCCAGCTATGCCCGCAATCGCTCCATCCGCTCGGTGGCCATCGAGGTGGACGGCGAACTGTACCACATAGGCCTGGAGGACGCATCCCAGCACCGAAACCTCACCAAGCGGCACTGGCCTGGGACCCCCGAGGACCAGGACGACAAGGAGGGTGGGGACTTCAGTGGCACCGGAGGCCTTCCAGACTACTCAGCACCCAGCCCCATTAAAGTGACACATCGGTGAGCATCCAGGTTGGGGGAGGAGCCGAGGGACCTGGGGGGGCCTGCCCCCGCTGACCTCCTTAGGGCCACACATGGTCCCTGAGGATCATGGGACCACGATCCCGATCTCGAGCAGGTGCTACATCCTAGAGAATGACACTGTCCAGTGCGACCTGGACCTGTACAAGTCCCTGCAGGCCTGGAAAGACCACAAATTGCACATCGACCACGAGGTGAGCGCGGGATGGGGCATGTCCTCTGACTCCACTGCCCACACTGGGAAGGAGGGAGGCCAGACCCGGGGAAGAGGACAGAGGTGAAGGGCATCCCCACGGAGTCCTTAGCCTGGGGCCAGGAGCACCCTCCCAGCATCAGATGGCCGGCATCCCCCACAGGCTGTCCAAGGAGGACGACTCGGCCACGCCATGCCGCTTCCTACACACAGGAAGTCTACCCTGCAGTCCTTTCAGCAAGCCCGGGGAGAGACACCAAAGCCGTGGGTGGGCTCAGCTACTTCTCAGGCAGGCTAGGGCAGGAGAGTGGCTCAGTGCACGTGCTGAGGCCTGGCAAGAGGAAAGGGAGGCTTTCTGTAGCCTTGGGGCCCAGGGCGTGTGGGCTTCTCAGCATGGCACAGGCAGGGTGGGGGCGGCCACCAGGCCGTGCCCTCCTGGTCCAGCCCATGAGGGCACATGGCCTCCTCTCCCGTTCTTCCCCCAGATCGAAACCCTACAGAACAAAATCAAGAACCTGAGGGAAGTCCGAGGTCACCTGAAGAAAAAGCGGCCAGAAGAATGTGACTGTCACAAAATCAGGTGAGGCGGAAGAGAAGGCACACAGGGTCCCAGCTCTCCTTCAGGACCACTCCTGGGGACATGCATCCCATTACTGACCCCCTCCCTTATTTCTTACCCCCATCTTCTCCCCTCAAGGTAAAAAAAACAGTAATACTTCAGCTCCCTACTGGCAGGCAGCTGGGCACACAGACCAACCCTCAGGTAGCCAGGCTGGCGCCCGGTTTCATGCCTGCTGGCAAGAGGCCGGCTCGTGCCCTGCAGGGCTGGCTCCGGGCAGGGAGTCGGCCTCTGTCGCTCACCCTTTCAGAGGTCACCCACACAGCCAAGGCTACCTCACCAGCTCGGGGCTCTCTGGCCTGAAGGACTGAGCTCCAGGGCAGCTCTGCCCTTCCTGTGCGGGCATGAGTGGCTGTATCTCCTGTCTAGCATGACATCCACCAACCAGCGTGGCTGCTGGGCACTTGAGCACAGGAAAGCACGGCTGTGGGGAACTCCGCTGCCTCCCCCGAAAGGCCTGCCAGCATAGCCCCTGCTGATGACCCAACCGGCAGGGACCCACCCCGCTGCTAGTTTCGGCCAAGTTCCACCCTGAGCAAGCTAGCCTGAGGACTTCAGCCAGGGTTGTCTGGCCACTGCTGCCTCCGGGATAGTCCAGGCCCCTCCCTATCCTTGCACCAGAAGACGAGCTGGGGTGGGATGGGGCGGGGCAGCCGCTAAGGGAGGCCCAGGAGTGAGGCTGGCACCTGCCAACGTGGCTCTGCAAGCCAGGCTGAAGCAGGGCGCGTCTGTTGCAGTTATCACCCCCAGCACAAAGGCCGCCTCAAGCACAAGGGCTCCGGTCTGCACCCTTTCAGGTAAGGGCAGCTTCAGGGTGGGAGGCATGGAGGCCCTGGGGAGGAGGCTGCCTGACAAGGGATGAAGGGCCAGCAGTCGGCCAGCGGTGGCCCGCCTCCAGGTCTGACGGTCCCTGGCGAGGTCCCACTGCCGCATGAAATGACGCCCCCTTGTGGCTGGAGGGGACTGCGGCAGCCTGACCAAGCGGGGGCAGTACGCGGGAGGGAGGGCACCGGTGTGACGGGAGTCCCAGTGGCCCCCAGGGGTGACCACAGGATAGCAGAACCCCGGCAGCTGGTCCCAGCTAGGCCCTGGGTCCGCGGTGGGGCGGAACGGGAAGGCCATGCGCAGGCTCTGCCAGAGAGGCTCAGGCCAGCCCCAGGGGCACAGGGCCGGGCTCCCAAGGTGCACGACCCTCATGCCCGCAGGAAGGGGCTGCGAGAGAAGGACAAGGTGTGGCTGCTGCGGGAGCAGAAGCGCAAGAAGAAGCTGCGCAAGTTGCTCAAGCGGCTGCAGAACAACGACACGTGCAGCATGCCTGGCCTCACGTGCTTCACGCATGACAACCAGCACTGGCAGACGGCGCCGCTCTGGACGCGTGAGGACTCGTGGCGGTGGGGGGGGCAGGAGTGGCCAGAGGGCACAGAACCTTCTGCAGGGGTCCAGTGGCCCCCTAAGAACCTCCTCCACTCCCCGTAGTGACCCGCCTCTCCCAGTACTGGTGAGGGCCTTGGTGCCAAACCCTCTAGGCCTCTCATATGTAACAGACCAGTGACATCCGCGCTCCAGAATGTCACTTGGCATCTGAGGAGCTATCTCGGGGGCGTGCCCAACACGAGCCACTGTTGGCAGTGGCTTCCCCCACAGGTCCTCAGGCAGGCTCTCTCCCCTGGCAGTGGGGCCCTTCTGTGCCTGCACCAGTGCCAACAACAACACCTACTGGTGCCTGCGGACCGTCAACGAGACCCACAACTTCCTCTTCTGCGAATTCGCCACTGGCTTCCTGGAGTACTTTGATCTCAACACAGACCCCTACCAGGTACAGACAACACAGGCTGGAGAAACAGTGTGGGTTCACGAGCACTGCCAGTCAGGCCTCCCGCCCTGGGGAAGGGGTGGCAGATACCCTAGGTCCCCCGAGTCCCTAAGACAGCAGGAGTCAGTCAGGAAGCCCTTTGCAGCCTCCATCCTCCTGCATCCGTAACAAACAATGTGGCCTCTTCCCTCTAATTCAGGGGCATGTCAGCATCCAACCAAACTTTGCAGGAATACGTGAAGACTCCTACAACTTTAAGAGCTGCAGAGTCAGGTCAAGTACCACACAATCCAGGGCCTGCAGGGACCGTGCAGACCTCATAATGATGACACTCGCTCTGCCCCAAGCACCTTGCCAAGTGCTTTCATGTAGTGAGTCTTCTAAACATGCACACAACTGACATGACCCAGAATCCGCATGCAAGGCTAAAAGGGGCCGCAGAGTGGTGATTGAAACATGGAGCCCTTGAAAAGGGACAGTCACCCCTGAGCTTCGGCACTAAAACGTTTCTGGAACGTGGCCTTGGCATTGTCTGACCTTAAACCTTTTTTATTTTGTTTTTTGTTTTTGTTTTTTTTGAGTTGGAGTCTCACTCTGTTGCCCAGACTGGAGTGCAATGGCTGCTTCCGGCCACCGCAGCCTTGCCTGCTGGGCTCCGGCGATCCTTCCGCCTCAGCCTTCCGAGTAGCCGGAATTACAGGCATGTGCTACCACACCCAGCTGATTTTTTGATTTATTGTAGAGATGAGGTCTCGCTGCCCAGGCGGGTCTTGAACCCACGGGCTTAGGCAATCCACTCACCTCAGCTTCCCAAAGGCACGGGATTACAGGCTGAGCCACCAAGCCCGGCTCAACCTTCAACCTTAAAGGTCTGAAATAATTTTTCAAATGAAATCTGACTTGTGTCAGCAGCTCCGCTGCTTCATTTTAATCACCACACAGGAAGGCTGCCCATGTTTTCTGAGATAGGTTAAGCCTGTACTTTACTGCGGGGGGTGACAGGGAGGCAGGTGAGTCAGGCAAGTGAGTCAGTCACCAGTAGTGCCCAGACGAGGCGAAGACCCAGGTCCCTTCCCAACCCTCCACCAAATGGCTGCCTTACGATCAAGAGGAGCCTAGGGCCTCGGAGGGTAGGCTGCTGACAAACCTGAGGCTTGGCAGGACTTCTTCCAGGCTTGGGAAGTCCCTCACTGAGTACACAGACGTGGTTTTCATTCTCAGTCCAAAAGGACCTGGGGCCAGAAGTCAAAGTCACCCGGCTCCTCTGTTCTCTGGCTCTTACTAAGTGGAAACTGGAGTGAACAGGACACCAGCCTGAGGCGCCTTCCACTCCCAACCTGAAATGTGTCCCCTGGTTGGTGAGAGGAGGGGCCGGAGGGTCCCCGTACTCACTGCCCTTTCTCTAACCAGCTGATGAATGCAGTTAACACACTGGACAGAGATGTCCTCAACCAGCTGCACGTGCAGCTCATGGAGCTGAGGAGCTGCAAGGGTCACAAGCAGTGCAACCCCCGGACTCGAAACATGGACCTGGGTGAGTGGGCATCCTCGTGGGGTCTGCAGAGAGCAGGGCGGGCATGGGAGGGAACTCAGGAGGTTGTGTCTACCCCAAGAGTGAGCTTGAATTGCCGAGAGTTGGGGGGGGATGTGATTCAAGACAAGCCATCTGGAAGGTGGGGATGTTCTGCCCCTGGTGGGCAGCTGGCCTTCCATGAGCCATGCTTCCTGAGAGAGGAGCACCTGGACCAGCTGCCTGGGGAACGTTTCATTTTCCTCCCTCTTGTTCATTCATTCATTCAACAAACATTCTAGAGAGCTTAAACCTGAAACCACGTTGGTTACTAAAAAGCAAAAAAAGGACCATCCTCCCTGACCTCACGTGGAGCTGGTGTCCCCCTAGGGACAGCCGCCCACACAGGGAAGCCGCTTGCTTGTGACCAGGGTGAGGGGGGCTCTCAGGGCTCTAGGCTTTCTGTCCCCTGGAGCATAGGTGTTCATGCCCGTAGGTTCATGAGCATAGGTATTCATGAACCAAGGTCAGTGTTGGATGAACACATCAGGGTCCTAAAACTGATATGGCGACACTGTATTGTGGGTACTCTCCAAGGCCACCTGGGAGACTCAAGGAAATGTCACCCCCTAATCCTGCCCACTCTGACTAGGGAACACTGTCAATGTCGTGGGACTATGACAAAATGCACAATATGGTTGTTCAAGGCCAGTTATGAAGTTTGTAACTGTGCCATTTTTACCCTAAATTATCTGTATCATTTTTTTCATTTCTCCCTCACGTAGGACTTAAAGATGGAGGAAGCTATGAGCAATACAGGTATTTGTTTTGTTATTAAAGCCTAAGCAAAGTTCCCACATCCCTGCCCATTCTTCAGTCTCGTCTCTCTGGGGCTGTCCTTCCTCAGGTCTGCCAGGGGCCTGGACCACCTACCAGTGACAGGTGTCACCCAAGAGACAGGCCTTCCTTTATAGGTGGGGGTGTCTTTTCTTTCTTGGGGATGGTTAACACTCATTCTCCTTTTGACACTTGAAAACGTAGGCAGTTCCAGCGTCGAAAGTGGCCAGAAATGAAGAGACCTTCTTCCAAATCACTGTGAGTTGAGGAACCCACTTACAATAGAGATCTGGCTCTGGCTGTTTGTCTTGCCAAAGCTATTCTCTGTGCATGCCATTTCTTATTTATCACCCTTCACTCATTCCCATAATGAGAATGTATACGGCAGTGTCTTTCCTTTAAGAACACACACTTGAATCCATCTCATGTTTTAGATGTAATACCTTGTCCAGTGCACTGTTGCTCTTGCTGTAGCCTGTGCTTAGTGAACTACAGCGATGTTTTGGAGGCTAAGAAGCATCTAGACACTACAACTGCCAGACATCTCGAAGGCTGTGGTTGCAAAAGTACTAACTGGTCCACGACATCAGCAGTCGGGGGCCTCGCTACCTGGTTGCCAATAAGTCCATGCTGCAGATTCTCATGCCAGCCAATGGGGGCTGGCAGCCGTAAAGTCTGCCCGTGCTCCAAAGGGAGCAGCTAGCTTGTTCCCCGTGGGAATGGGATGCAGTTTGTCAGATTTTCTAATTCATCAAAGAAATCCCAAAATGCAGATATGTATGAGAATTTTTTTTTTTTTTTGAGTTGGAGTCTCACTCTGTCGCCCAGACTGGAGTGCAGTGGCCGCTTCCGGCCACCGCAGCCTCGACCTGCTGGGCTCCGGCGATCCTTCCACCTCAGCCTTCCAAGTAGCTGGAATTATAGGCATGCGCTACCACGCCCAGCTGATTTTTTGATTTATTGTAGAGATGAGGTCTCGCTGCCCAGGTGGGTCTCCAACTATTTTTTAAACACTGGCTACTAATCTGACATTAAGTTACCATGTAGGCAAACTAGCCCCCTCGGTGAGGCACCATTTGCAACCTCTGGTCTATCCATTTCTGTCTTTATAAGCATCTAAACTATGTGGCTTTAACAGGACATTAATAGTGGCCCAGCTAAGCATTTCTTTGGTGCTTCCAAAATGAAGCTTCAGAACCTTTACATCTCGCATCCGCCTTGCCACTGCCCTGTCCAGATCCTGAGGTGCCATCTTGCCAGGCACTGAGTATTTACACAACTGAAAATGGAGACTAGGTGGTAGCAATTCCCTTTCTAAGACCTAGAAATATTCTTGGCAGCCACATCCTTGAAGCAATGCTTACTTGGCTATGGTACTGATTAAGATACCCTAAACAGCATAATAACCAAATGCTAAGATGAGTTTGTTTTTTGTTCTCTAGGGGACAACTGTGGGAAGGCTGGGAAGGTTAAGAAGCAACAGAGATGAACCCCCCATCACCTGACTGTACAGGCAATGAAATCGTGTGCTGTAGGCCAGGAGGCCTGTGAGAGCAAGAACTTGCTTTGCCAACACGGCAAATTCTGGAGGATGAACATCAGGAGCAGAGAGAACTTCAAGAAGTCTATTTTTGTCCCTGCTTTTGCTTTGGATTATACCTCACCAGCTGCACAAAATGCATTTTTTCCATATCAAAAAAAGTCACCACTAACCCTCCCTGAGAGGCTCACAAAGGCAAAAGAACATAGAGAGTTTCTCCAAAATTTTCCCCGAAAGGTGAAAGTCACTGGAATTTTTTTTAATTGTAGGGGGGAAACAGCCCTGTTTTAGATCCTCGTACTCTTATTCTTTTGGTTTGTCACAAATAAGGAATAAAAAGCAAGACACAACGTGCAGAGGCTGAAAACAGTGCAGAGAGTTTGACAATGAGTCAGTAGCACAAAAGCAATGACATCTACCTAGCACTGTAACCCTGGTTGCCTCAGAAGCAGCTGCCTTCACTGTACATATGTGACTATTTACATGTAACCAACATGGGAACTTTTAGGGGAATCTAATGAGAAATCCCAATTTTCAGGAGTGGTGGTGTCAATAAATGCTCTGTGGCCAGTGTCAAAGAAAACTCCTTGCAGTCGTGGACATTCCTGTTCATGCCCAGATGCCATTTCTCCCAGTACTTCTTTGTTATCTGTCCCAGAACTAATATTTCTTAAGGTACTGAAAAGAAGTGAAAGTTGATGTATGCCCCACATTTTGATGGAATTGTATTTGTAAAGAAATTTTGTAGTATAAGTACTGCCATACGATGTTCAAAATGCCAGCCAATGACCAGCAGTTGGTATGAAGAAACCTTGGACATTTTGTAAAAGACCATTCTTGGGAGTTTTTGGACGTGTTTATTTTTGTTTTTAAGTATTCAAGATGCTAACCAGTCAATACCTTTTTGGAAGGAGATGGCTTGGGCTTCACAGGATTTTTTTTTAAAGGGGAATAGATGGTTGTAGATTAATAACTAAAATGTACCATACTTCAAGAGACCCCACAGGTAAGTCTCCTATTACACCAGCTTTGGCGCTTCATCTTTTAAAAGTATTAACCGATTGCAAAGCAGCTCACTTCAGCCGACTCTTTGTATACCAGGTAGTCTAACCTGGTACAAGTGGCTGTCAGAATTCTGAATGGGAAAGGTGGGAGGAACATGGGTCAGCCCATCTCTCATTTAGCAGGTGACAGAGATGATCCCCGAGCACCCACACTCCGTAAAAAGTTTCATGCTTTTCAACGTCCCAAATAGGCTAGGACTCCCTAGCAAAATTTTGTTTGATTGTTTTCTTTTTAAACAACTTTCTTAAACTTCACAGAAACAGCTACCATTATTTGAAATAGCTTCCTTAACCTCTTTTGCTCCCTTAGTCCAACAGGTATTTAAAAAAAAAAAAAAGCAAGCTCTTTAGGTTCCAATTTTAAATAGCAACCTTTATTTACAATGACATCCAAAACGGTCAGCAAAGCAGTCAGCTCACCACCCCTCAGAAGTCATCTCATGTGGTTTCCATTCTTTGCAGGGTAAAGAATGATTTCGACTTCTTTAAACAACACTTCATGTAAACTTGATTAAAAGTGAATTCATTCTCCATACAATAAGTCAATTCCTGAGAATTTAAATATTGCTCTCAGAATGACATTTTGATATTCAAAAGTTCATATATTAGAGAGAGAAAAGAGGAAAGAAAAAAACCACCCTGCTCGTGATTAAACAGTGTGCCTTGGAGTTGAAAACAACTCTTGCTCATTTGCAGCAGGGGGAAAATGTCATCGATGCTAGAGGTTTTGCTCTTGTGACTCCGACTTACGAACAAAAACGCATGGCTTCTGCAAATAAAAAGTGAGCTTGACAGGTCTATGAGTAACTGGCAATCCATCTGTTTACCTTCCAGCTGCATCTACCTCTGGACCAAAGAACTTCTAGGACATTGAGCCAATTCTCTTCTGCAACACCCCACCCCTAATATATACCCCTAACACCCCTTAGATATTAAATACTGGTAAACTAAATAGCACTGCTTATTGATATTTACACCTTTCAATTCAGATGCACAATTTAGACAAGTGGCATCATAATATGAACATTAACAATGCAACTTCCATTTACTTTTTAAAGGAAGAAACATGTATCTCCTTTATATCATTTTAATCTTTATAAAATATATATTTTTTATTTATATATCTTTGGATTCAGCAAAAAGTAGGTACTGGAAATATCCCACATTCTAAAAGAAGATGAAAAGATTACTTATACTGTTCACCCAACAGATACCAAGGTTTAAAAATGGGGGCGGGAGGGTGTGAAGAGGTAGGCAGCAGGAATACAAAGAATTATCTAGAAAAGATAAAAGGGCAATAGAGGTAAGAACAACAAATTATCGCAAAGACTGCACCTATCAAAAGAAAATCAAAATATTGAGTCTGCACCAATCAAGTGACAAGTAGAAAATATAAAAACTGATAATAAACTTCATTTTTTGCCATATAAAAAGGGAGTGCTGCCTTCCAGTTAGCCTGGAGCCAGGACTTAGGAAAGAATCACAAAACTTTATCTTTTTTGTTTTGTTTTTAATAATTTGCAAAAGTCAAGAAAGGTAAGAGCACCATTCTGTTTTTCCCCAAGCACACAACTTAAACAAGGCCGGTTCAGACCACCTGACACAACTGAGTTGAAAAAGACACAGACGCTCCTCAGCTATGCCTCAGCTTCCATGTAGGAGAGTCTGTCATCTGGAAAGCACAGGCCACTACAATGGAAGTTCACACACATACACTCTTAGGTTTATTTTGAACCTGGTGGGGGGAGGAGGGGCAAATGGAGCAAACTCATAATTGTCTACACACTGCTTCGAAAATAAAATCCACTCTAGCGGCGCTTCTGGAAATAGCAGGTTTCACTTATTCACAAGCATATCAAAGATATTCAATGATCTTACCTTCAGAGACATCTAGAAAGATAAGTCGAATGTGTGAAATTTAAAAAAAATTAACCGGCTCTCAGTTATTGCTAAAAAAATGACACCAAGGCTAACAGAGACATTTGAAATTCATAGATACTCCAAAAACCTAATTTCATTCACCTGTTTGAACCTAATAAAGTAACCTAGATAAAGGGAATTAAACTTGATTTTTTCCCTACTCCCAACTGACTAGCACAGGTGTCAAGGAGAGGCAACAGCAGAAAGTGCAGGGGCAAAAGAGGGAGAACAGTTGGACTGTGGCTCGGACCTGCAGCAAAACCAGCTGTTCTGGGCACTGAGCTCCATAAGAAATAGTGACACTACCCTAAGTCACAGAGACCTGGTGAAAGCATCACATCAGTAGACTAGAGGACAGCTGAGCAGACATCAGAAGCCATACACCAAGGAGTCTGTCTGCTCCTGAGAGCTCAATGTGGGACTCAGGTCTTAGCAACCAAACTCTTAGAAGAGTCCTAAAACTGATGAGAAAACAATGTATCTCCAGCTACTTGGAAGGTTGAAGCGGAAAGATAACCTGCGCCCAGCAAGTCGAGGCTGCGATGGCCGTCAGTGTGCCACTGCACTCCAGCCTAGGCGACAGTGAGACTCCGGCTCAAAGAAAAAGAAAAAGCAACATATCCATTAAAGAAAAGAAACCTATGAATTGCTATCACTTAACTTATAAACTGCTTAAAATCCAAAAGATTCTTTTTTAAAATCAAATTGCTTGATTCTTTTTAAATTCCTGATAACTCTTTTGTTTATTTTCCCACATCTATCCTTTCCCTCAAAATTAACAAAGTGCTTAGTTCTGGCAGAGGAATTTTTTAAAAATTAAAACACCAACATCTAAACAAATAATCTCTTTTAAAAGCATTTAGATTAAGAGACTGAAAAGGGTGAGGCATCTGAGGCTGGGGGGGGGGGAAGGAAACCTGTGGGCC